CAATCAATGAATTCACTTTTTGTCGTCGTATTTGCTGGTCTCACTCTGTCCATAAATTTGAAGAATTCTTCATAAATAGTTTTAAAAACCTATCCCTCGCCATTGAAAGTTCAGTGAATTGTTTAAAATCGCTAGCCTCCTCCCTGCTCCACCTCAAAAGATCAAACCCCTTTTCTTTTCCATACTAACTAACATCAAGTAAAAAGGAAATAACAAAGATAAGCATAATATATAAGATCAAAACTATAATTACAATAACAAAAGTTTAATACGGTTAAGCAATGCTTCAGAATGACCAGGCTAACGGAGCTCTCTCTTTACCAGCAGGACAAGTAAAATATCCCCAAATACGACACATAATGAAGAATATTTGTGGGATTGGATCCTTTATGTTCAAAGTTGGGGCAAATTATTATAATAAATCTCATCTTAGGCTAAAAGATACAAAAATATTGTAGGTACATAATATGCAAAGTTGTAAAAAATTCGAACTCAGTTTTACATGTTGTAAAAACCTAGTATAATGCATCTGTACAATACTAATATGGTAACCGCACGTAATTTCATATACAGTGAATAAACAATATGTCCGGAGGCAGAAAAAGACTCAGCGAAATGAGTAGTTTTACATTCACACACACACACACACACACACACACACACACACACACACACACACATGTAGACACACATAGACACAGAAGTGTACGATAAAATACGTTCTAAATATGATGGTAAGTCCTCCTGCATATTATGAATGTGTACGTTTTTACTTTCTTGATTTTCTCTCTCTCTCTCTCTCTCTCTCTCTCTCTCTCTCTCTCTCTCTCTCTCTCTCTCTCTCTTCTTGTCTTACGTAAGCTTTACATATTGATGGTATATTAAGCATAATTTACCACAGTAATTATATTATAAATTGTACGAAATCATCTATCAGCGAATGCTCGAGCAGGAAACCAAAGGTGAAGAAGAGACTCGACGTGAAGGTGAATACTATGATAAACACTATGTTTTTCTGCTTAAAATTCTTATGAAAACGATAACAGGAGGTTTAGGGAGAGTAAGGGTGGGGGGAGGGGGGTAAAGGAGAAAAGTTCACCTCTCAGCGGTAATAGCCACCTGCTATTGTTCAGTTTATAGGGGCAAAAAAAAGGGGACATACAGAAAATACAGCAAGGAAAAAATGATTCCAAACCTTCAGTGACTATAAAAATACATATTTGCAACTCACAAATGTACATCTTTACGCATCTTTTGAGTATCAAATTAATGTGAGCGTTTTGAAAAAAACCCCCGATGGTACAGCTAATATTATGGCTTGGTTTTCGTGCAACATTTTACATTTATGTGAATCATCATAAAATATATACACACACTCAAATAAGGTCAGGCACATTGCTTGACTGTACAAAGAACATGGTGAATTCAGTACAAAAACACCAGGAAAAACTTTTCCTGAATAGCATGAAAGTCTTTTTGTTGCACACATCTGTACTTTCAGACAAAAAGAGGAATTTTGCCCGAAGGAAAAGCAACAAATAATAAACTATTCTGGCCTGATGTAGTCTGCTCAATGCAGACAGACACATAGTATAATATACACCGGCACCTGCACTGCATCGGACAAGGACAAGTGATCTGAAAAACGGGAGATCGACTTTAGGATGCGACTGAGTGGGAGTCAACAATTATTTTTTCGACACCCTTCCACTTCCAGATATTCCTGCTTAGTGTGAGGTCACGTCTGGTGACCACGAGCTCCCTCCGCTAGGTGACAACAACAATTATAACACAGTAGGCAATACGGACACCATGTTATGTCTATGCCACGAATAAGCAAGTTCTATACCTTCAGTGTCTACGCCATGAACAAAAATGTTCTGGATCTTCAGTGTCTATGCCAAGAACGAAGAATTTCTGAACTTTCAATGTTTAGTATGGCATGAATAAAGAATTTCTGAACTTTTAACGTTTATGACATGAGTAAAGAATTTTTGTACCTTCACTGTAAATGCCAAGAACAAAAAATGTTTTACCTTCCATGTCTACACCATGAATAAAGAAGTTCTGAATCTTCAATTTCTCTGCTATGAACTAAAAAGTTCGGAACCTTCTGTTTAACTAGACAAAAACAAGACACAGAGTGTTCACACACTAGCAAGTGAGACTTGTGAAAAGAAATTGATGCTTGTTAGTTGTCTCTTTGACAATGCTGATGAAACCTCCATATTAAGAATATCTTGATATTTCTTTCTTTTCTGTATGCTTTACTATTTTGTTTGCAGACGGATTTTATTCGAAACTTCAAGTTAATAAAAGTACGCACTTCAGCTCAATGTACACAACCCTGGGAAATAACGTGAGGTATATCGTTTGTTTTGTGCCGAAACTGTAGACTGAGAGGGAAAATGAACTCCAACAAAACCAATCAAATAAGTAGCATAGGGCTGGATTCCAACCCAGGTGCGGTGAAAGAATAATGGGAAATAACAAACTAAAAAAACTGTAAAAAAGGAAAGAAAGGAACAGAGTTGAGAGAAGGAGGAGATCAGGGATGTAATGACAAAAAACATGAAAACTCTTGCAAACACAACACAAGATGATTAGAGAGAGAGGTGGCGAGAAATAGAAAAAGGGGTATACGAAAGAAAGAAAGACAGAAAGAGAGAGAAAAAGAGAGAGATGGAGAGAGAGAGAGAGAGAGAGAGAGAGAGAGAGAGAGAGAGAGAGAGAGAG